TTATTAAGGTTTAATTAAAGTTTATTTAATATTCTATTAGAATGAATATTTTATTATTAAAATTTCCATTCTACCTTCTACAACTAAGAGCCCAGTAAACTCTCAAGCAATGTTTCATGTAATACAATAGTGTATTGTAGAATTTATCTTCTATTTGGTAAGTTTAATCTTCTTCAAATTTTTTGTGCTTGTTTTCAACTAAATAATTGAAAGGTGTGCAAATTTTGAGTCAAAATCTATTATTAAATTATAAGTTATTGAGATTTCAATCTATTGTAGGATCGATTAAGAATTTATTTAGAATTTTAGATTCAATTAGAATTTGATTCAGGATTGATTTAAGATTTAGGATTTCATCAAGGTTTTATTAAAATTTAGAATTTGATTAGGATCTGATTTAAGATTTAGGATTTAAAATTTAGGATTTTATATTAATTTAATTAGAATTTATTGAAGATTTATTTAAAATTATATTATGATTACATTAGGATTTTTTTATATTTGATTAAGATTTAATTAATATTTTTTAAGGATTATATTAGAATTTGATTAATATTTTTTTAGAATTTATTTAAGATTTATTTAATATTTTTATTTTTAATATTTTTATTTTTTTATTTTTGATATTTTTTTAAGATTTTTTTATTATATCTTTAGGCTTTTTTAAAGTTCTTTATGATTTCTTTAGAACTTCTTTTGGACTTATTTATGGTTTTTTTATAATTTCTTTAAGAATTATTTTGGATTTAAATAATATTTCATTAAAATTATTAGTCTTTAATTAGAGTTAATTTAAGATTCTATTAGAGTTTTTAGAACTTTGTTGTTATAGTTTTCAATTTATCTTCCACAACCACGTGCTTGGTGTATTTTCAAGTAAGTCTTTATGTAATATAATAATAAATTATTGCACTACAACTAATGGTGAAAATTGTGCTATGATTCTTTACACCTTAGATCAAACATTTAGCTTAAATTTAAGATTAGGTTTACTTTAAGTTCAATAGTTGATGATCATAAGCAACCAAAATGACTTTTGCAACTAAGCTTTTTAGACATCAACAATCCAAGAAATTATACCTTCAAACTTCCAAAGATAAATCCAACTATCTGATCTTTTTTGTTAATATTTTTTATTTGAGGTCATTAAATTTGAGAAATTATTTTTTATTATTTTTGTTTATGCTAAGAGACTATACATAAAGTTATGCTATTTAAGAAGAGAAGAGGAAAGAAAAGATCATGTTATTTGAAAATAATTTGTATTTTTTGAATCACTAGGAGTTTTATACAAGCTAATATCTTATTAAAGTATAAAAACCATTATTTGTGTGGTTGATAAAAAGATTTCATTAGATTTTTATATCATAGATATTTATTGTAATGCCAATGGTACGTAAAACTTACATTATGATGTACATTGAATAGTGATATTTTTGTGCTAAAATTAATGAACGATCATAAAATATATTTTTTATACAACTTTCATTTATTTTTTTTATATAAATGATACAAATATAGACTATGCATTTACAGCCAAACGATTCAATTGATAGATGCAAAATTCAATATTTCTTAGAAATTATTCCTACCATATAATGACTAAAGTAGATTTTACAATCAACATCAAGATTCTACTCATGTCAATCTTTGTAAATAATTTTTTAAGTTTTGAGGTCATAGGACTAAAGTTCCAATCTATTGATTGAAATACTATGATAGAATTTAGTTATTATGCTTTTAAGCTAAAATTGATATTATACTTAAGCTTGAAATAAAGACCAAGCCTCTCGTATGAAATGTTGTATTTGACTTTAGATAGGACTTAGATTTTAAGACAAATAATGTTATATTTCAAATTATAAATCAACTATTCAAAGGAAAAAGAGATTAAGCTTTAACATTAAACACTACAATCAAAATCTATGAGTAAATCCTTTTACTTCTATATGCATCCCTTTAACTAATTTTAATCAATATGTTATTAATTAGAAGGTGCAATATATTGTAGGAAGTAATGCTAATTCAATATAACTTATAATCTTTTTGCTATAAGGGTATGCTAGTGCTATTTATATTTTATAAAAATACTAATCTATAGTTGTTATCTTTATAAAATTTTTATACTTTGCATAGATTTTATCTTGTACTTTGCACTTTTCTTGGTAGATTTGGAGGTTGATGTGCAAGTTGACATTAGAATTCTTAAGTTTTTGAAGTACTACATGCAATATACTAAGTTGTTTTTTTTTACAATTTTGGATTTGTAATTTTTGAATCACTATTGCCTTAAGCCTTTTTTATTTCAAGAGTAGGGAGATTGTCAAAAGTTTGGATACATTATTTTTGTAAGGCAAGTTAAGGAAAAACACCATCAATAGATTCTTAATATTCAACCTTCTTATTGTTTGTTAAACATAGTGCTTAATATTGTGTTGTTATTAAGTTTGCATTTCTCATCTTACACAATTATGACATAAAATAGCCATGTATATTTCCAAGAATTTGTTATTGTTTCGAAGGAGATTTCATCTCATGTATGTCTTATCTAACACATTGATTGTAAAATATTAGCCTTATAAAGATCATTACTTCTATTTTTAAATTATTAAGTATAAATTACATTAAAATCCTTAATATTGTTATTTGGATATAACAATATTCTAGCATTAATTGATTAGAGAATAGATGTTGTGTTAGAAGAGGAAGAAGGAGAAAGAAGTGACAAGTAATATTTAAGATTTTATTACTATTCAAAATATAAGCTGTATAATTATCAAAGAGAAAAAAATCTAATTTTAAAAAATTATTTTGTAATAAAAGTATTTAAGTTATTCAATGAATAATGTCAAGATTATTTTAGTTTTTATATTCCAATAGTAATAGAATCCAACTTCCTTATCTCTCTAATTTTTGAAAGCATGTGGTTTTTAGGTCCTACCAATAATAGATAAATGGAGCTTTTCAATTCTTAAAGTTTTTACCATCAATTCAACAAAATTACATTCTTTGATTTTCTTTGCATCTTTTATATGTTGGCTTTCTATTATATTGTTTGGTGATATAATTTAGAATAGGCCAAATTCATCTATATTAAAAATATTCTTTTGATTGTATTTTACTATCAATTCTTTAATTCAAGCAATTGAAATGCACCAATCATTGCATTTTCACTTTCGCTTTGTTTATTCAAAGAGAAGTACTAAAACCATTTTGCTCTTTAAAATATGCCATCTAGCCATTTAAAATTTTTGATTTCTCTTCTTTTGGAATTTTGGAAGAATTACAAAGTTTCTCTTCTCTCTTACTAATAAGAGCTAGGTTAATATTGATGCAATCATCTTTGCAATGACATGCCCAGTTTGTAAGTTCAACTTCTATAGCTAAAAAATGAAGTAAAACTTTGTGACAACTTGCTAATTTTATGTTGTTTATTTTTTCATGCTCTTCATAATGTGATAAGATGTTCAAAATTCTACCTTGCAAAAAAGCTTTTATAAAATCAAATTCTTCTTTTACAAGAGTTTTTTTGCATTATATATATAATTTTTTATTTTATTTTATTTTATTTTTCTTTTTCTTTTTATTTTGTAAATTTATAGTAATTGCATAAAGATTGCAAGAAAGATAATTGTGCATTATTATCAATTTTTTGTCAATTGTGCATGTGTATTTACAAAACCAAAGAATAAAAAGACCTTGAATTCTCACCTTGTGCTTCTTAAACTAAAATACTTCTTTCCAACTTGAATTGATACTTGCTATAAATATAATTCTATCCTTCTTCTTTTGGACTATTATTGTAGATATATCGTCTATTAAAGTGCCAAATTGCGTCATATTCTCTCATATTTCTAAACCCTCATTAGGTTCAATGTTTTTATAGTTATGACGCAAGTAATGAAAAGATAAGAACGAAAATACAATTAGGTAGAAAAAAAGAAACACTAAATTGTAAAATTACATGACTCTACATAAATTATAAAACCTTGAATAATTTATAACTTTTCCATCCATTGAGATTATTAATTAGATAATGTACCACTATACACATAAAGTTTGGTCTTTAAAGCACATTTATACAAACATACATAGAAAAGAAAAGAGATGGAAAAACAATTCTATGCTATTTTTAATTATATTTTATAAAAAAAAATCTATTTTGACAAGTTTAGTGGGACAATTATATCAGTAAGTTGTTGCAAACTTATATATAAATTTATGATTTTTTATTTATTTTTTATTTATTTTAATCAATGGTAAGTTCTAAAGTAGTAATCTAAGAATATTTAGGGGCTTTTTTAAATATTTGTTGAGATATTTTGAAGATGTCTTTTAATTACATTCTATCCAATAAATAAGAAGCAATGCTTTTAAATTTATTTTAGAAGAAATAAGCTAAAAGTATCATTTTTACTTTAATAAACTTAGAATAGCAATAATATTTAAAATTCATATGATATCCATAATATTGAAGTTAATAATAATTTTAATTTAATAATAAAATTTGAATTCTTAAGTTAGAATACTTTATATGTAATAATAAAATTGAGAAGTTTTTGATTTTTTTCTTTTTTTTAAAGTGAATATATATATATATATATATATATATATATATATATATATATATATATATATATATATATATATAATAGTAATTTATTTATAAAATACATATAAACTTTTGGAATGTTTAAGATTTTGTTGTTTTTTTTGGTATTTTATTAGATCATTATATCAGTGATTTTTAAATGAATGAATGATTTTTTTGTACTTCATCTAAGGTTGTGGCCTTAGATTTTCTTTATTTATTTTCCTACATTTTAAAGCTTCTTATATCTTTTTCTACATGTAAAATACTTCTGTATATATATTTTTTTAAAATGAAAAACTTATTTCATGTAGTAATCTTGTTCAAAACTCTTATATTTTATTGTTCCAAAATGTATTATCACCAAAATAAACCACACCCAAAAATTCATATCAGTTTACCTATTACATGTTACTCATGAATTGGAAAATTCACCTAAATTTTGGAAAAAAAATACACATGTATTTCAGAATACAGTAGCAAAATCAGACTAAGAATTTGATCGTCGAATTGATTGAAAGCCATTTTCACAGGTTTCTGTCACTTGGATCCGAATAGAGGTGAGGCTAGAACAGCTTCTTCACAGCTGAAATGGAGGATGCTATCCTTGTCATGGCATCGCCCAACACCAATTCACCAATATCTTATGGTTTCAGAATTCAATGCCTTGGAAGCAAAGTATCACTCTAACATGATTCCGTTCAACTTTTTTCACCCAATTCCTCTGAAGGCCACTACTTGAATAAGTGTCTACTAATCTTCCTCCCTACATGCAGAGAAAGCCAGCGTTTGAGTCCGAATCCTTTGATAAAATCCTATTTTCACGGTCCACTGCTTTTGCTCCAGCGTGGAAAAAAATGAGAATCTTCATGTCTTTATCCTATTATAGTACACATCCCTGTTTTCGAATGTCCAATGAACTTCCACTTATGCTGCTAAATCACAATATACGTGCATTCCAGAATGAGAAAATGAGCGTTTCGGAGGGCAATATATGTGGAATTCCAGCGTTTTAAGGGTGTGCACACATACCCTTGTGAAGTTGAATGATGGTGTGTCGAGACGAAAGTGCTTCCAAAACACCAATTCATCACACGCTGAACACCTGTCCCTGAAAGAAATGTCGGAACTTTCCAGTGCATGGATCTTCTCTGAACGGCGAGGAACGATCTTTTCTTTGACCCCGCTCACAAAAGATCTTTTCTCTGAACAGGGCAACGTTTGAATACCCTTACCAAGAAGCTCCTAAATTTTGCTTTCGAAAATCTCGTGCCAAACATCAGTGAAGACATCTACAATAACGTTATGGTGCTCCGCCTCATTGAGCGATAAGTAGCACTTCAAAAGCTCCTCCAAGTCGTCTGCTTCCTTAATGTCTTGGTCAACAATCATCTCAATCATGGACTGGCGGAAGTCATTATAAGGATCGTAAGAGCTTTCAACCACAATAGCCACTCTCTCCTTGGGAGCACTTGCCAGTTGCTTGGTAGAAGGAGCAGGTGGAGAGGGAACAGAAGCTATATGCGTTGACCGCCGCTGCTTGGTCCGTCTTTTCGCCTCGTTGAACTTTCTTCTGGCATGGTTGAGATCTTCATGAAGCTCTGGATCTATCATGCTCTCCTCGCAATGCGCAAGAATGTTTCTCTCTTCGAGAAGATCCTTTGGAACAAGTTTTCGAGATGGGGATGGCTTCTTAAAAACCTTTTTGTTACCAGGGTACTTGGCTTTCTGTCTCTTGGCGATCCAGGACAAATTATTTCGTGCAGCACGGGGAATCTTTCTCTCTACCCTGTTCCGCTCACATGCTGGTTCTCTCGGGTCCTCGAGTTGAGATGCTGGCTGTACAGTGATGCAATGCAGCTCTCTACTCTTGTCACCGGTGGAACCTAACTCATTACTCTTAGCATAATTATCCCTGTGAATAGGAAACTTGACACCCCAGGCCTTGGCGGAGGATTCAAGAAAGCTCTCGAACGCAGGCGAGTTGTGGGGCTCGCATGTGGAACCGATCAAAATGGATTCATTACCAGGATCACCGTCATCCTCATCCCCAATCAGCCTCTGAAGATTGCTACTATCTAAAGCTTGATGAAGAGATGCAAGAAGCTTCATTTCACTTTCATCCCTAAGTTTCGTGTTAGTCTTCTGTTGATCCCTCAACGACTTTGAGCCTTCACGCAGCCACTCAGCTGGAAGCACTTTCTGCTTCAGTAAGCTCTGACCATTCGAGAAATTGCAATCATCTAATCCTTCCTTGCAAGTCGCTGGTGGCTCGAACTCTGAAAGGAAAGATGTTGGTTTCCTTTCTGATGATCCAAATCCACATTCAGAACCTGACCGAGGAGCCTTGAAGTTGCAATCAGTACCGAAAGAAGTTGACCTCCACGGAAAAGTACACATCTTTGGGTTGTCAATAAGAACCTCTGGCTCTTCTTTAGTTTCTGGGTTGATCTTTTTTGGGGAATCTGTATCGGCTTCAGCAGAGAACAGATGACCGAGTGTGGGATTACACCCAGATTTCAATTTTACTGGGGACTTCACCTTCACTCCTCTGACTTCCCTGTTTCTAGTAAACTTCTTCATGACCATTTGATTCTTGACCACTTCGCCATTTTTAGGCTCGCCGCTCCATGGAATTGGATTCGCAGTCAACCATGGCTTTGATTTCGTGGGCCAAGAATCCTTAAAAACCTTTCCTTCCTCAATGCAATCAAGCCCTGAACCTATATCCATCCCAATCAGTGCCGACTCCTCTAGCTGCAGGCTGCTGCGGCGAGAACGTCGACGTGAAGTGCTGCCACATCCTACCGAGAACCTCGCTCTTCGAGTCGGGGTAGTGGTCTTTCGGAATTGTTCCGAAGAATTCGATCTCTTCCTTGAAACAGATTGATCTCCCACCAACTTGCTCAAGCCCCTTAGCCTTGAGGAGGATGTTAACTTGCTCAAGCATCTGGAAAATATAGAAGCTCTAGAGGATGAAGTGTTGGCGACAGAGGCCAATGGAGTAAACCTAGTGGTTCCTTCCGAGGATGCCATCTTGCTCCTCAAGCCTTGAGTTGAAGAAGCAGTAACCGCGTTAGCAACGCGATACTCAAGCCATGGATTGGAAGGTTCAGTATTTGTTACGGCCTGTGGATGTTGAACAGGACTGAAGGTATAAATTCCAGATTTCAGTGCTCCATGTTTGTAGCAGTTCTCTACGACCTTAGGAAGAAACAGCGAAGAGTCAGGAATGACAAGTTCAGTTGTATTTGACGCTTTCAGGCTCCTTGAATTTCTACAGATAGACCTAAGCTTAATCAACCAAACAGTTGGGAAGACTGCAGAGAAGTGTTTTCCTCTTAACTTTTCGGCGCCCTTGGTGGACATTTTCTTACTCATCAGAAAATACTTCTCTCTGGAAGCATCCATCTTGTTCAACAAAAACTAGAATCAAAACCAATTCAGCGGTAGCTCCAAAGAGATACGTCATGTGTGCTCCGAGCGATTCCACGCTTGATGGTTACGGGTAAGAATCCTGTACACGAAGCAGTGAACGATCATGAATTCCTACGTTTTGAAAAACAGAACAAGAGATTGTACATGCTGTCTGTTTGAATAACTCAAATATGTAAAACATAAATAGAGCTACTAACCATCAAGATCTGCTTCAATGCAGCTTGAAAAAAGACTTCGTGACGATTCTCTAATATGCTCTATGTCTGCGATCGTGGAAATCAAGCACATGTGCTCGATTATAAATTGCAAAGCGCACATCACAAGTTTATTGACAGTATCACTCCTGTTACAAACTATCTTCACATTTTATCTTTTCTCTTACAAACTTCGTTTACACAGTTCCTCCAATCGATGCAACAAATCCCATAATACTGGATACTAGAGCCTTCTCGTTAATTAAAAATGCTCCAAAACCTGCACTAAAGAATAGTTACTTATATCCTTCCACTTCGATCTCTATCACAAGATTCTTCCGTCGTTCGATACATTCCTTGAGAATTATGCTCAAAAGCCACCATTTAATACTCACTAAGTGCGAACTAAGCTGATAGTTTCCTCGCCAACACTATCGGCAAATGGACTCTGCGCCTTCCTCTGTTCAGTCGAGTTGTGTGTAATATACAGTCGGAACCGAAGAACATTCTCTTATACCTATAAAAGCACAAAACTCTAGTCCTAGACTTTCTGCAGCCACTACTTGATCCCACCCAAATTTCCGAAAGTTTAGTCAGAGGACGACGTGTCTGCAAATCGACGAACGCAGGGTCCCCGCACCGTCCATAAAAACCCGTCCCACACTGCCCATTGCCTCGCACGAGCACCCACGATACACCAATGACTCGAAAATTTAGAAAAAATCTTCCCATGATAGCGCGCGTAGCTTACTGGCGATCGCCGCCACTAACGCCAGCATGCCTACAAACAAGTCGCAGGTTGCTTGCAGAGGGAACAGCGACAGGGCTTAGTTCCAAATTAGGCAATGTAGAATCGGATTCCACAGGCTTCTCTTTGGCATCCGCAATTGTCGTCGTTCGGAAGATTAGTGCTGTTGTGAGATGCTTGTCACGTCATCGCTCGAAATTTCAGGGCCTTACGCGCCATTTTTGCATGCGCTCTTGTCGTGCTGCCTCTCACCAGGCGGCCATTCGCCATCCTATCGTGTGTGACATCACCTTCTTCCCCCCTCTTTGAGAATTACTTGACTCCGCTGCAATTTTAAAAAAACTCCTTTACAATCCTGCGGCATTGATGAGGTCTGCACATTTCTGAAACTCTCGACCACTACATTTTCTTGAAACTCAGAGCAATCGTGATACAGCCTCTCTGAGCATTTCCTACCCCGTGTGCCGATGCTATAAAAGCAGTCGAATTATTCTGCTACTCACGAGGTTAAACACGCACTGCTATGGCGTCACCTGCTATACAATCGATGAAGAAGGTATTGTGCGGATGCTGATCCCAGGCACTCGGATCATTATGTCTGGAAATTCATTTTAAATGAAGAGTGTTACAAAGAACCCTTCGGCTTCAGGCAAAATTCTGTTTGAGGCACATGGGGAAGTGATGATTATAAACGAGATTACCTGGATTTACTATCTGCGCGCAGCACCATACAAGACGTAGAGAGCACATACCTGGCATTTGTGATTAAAAGAAATAAGAACATAAATGACGGGGGACGAGCGAAATATGACGAAAAAAGAGAGAAAGAGAGCGTCTTGACTGAGTGACATGAGCAATGCACTCAAAAATCCGTCTATCTATAGTCAATCAGGAAACTAGTACAGTAGTATTTGAGATCGCATGGAAAAGATAACCTCCAACAATTTCAAAAAATGGATTCGGAGATATCGAAAAAGATATTAAGGGAAACAGCAAAGTCTCTATCAAGTGTGTCCATACTCTTTTAAAACGTCACCATTGATCAGACATTTGAGCAACTAATTATTGCCTAATTTTTATACTTCGCATCTTCATATACGTGAGCTGGGAGTTTGAAGATATGTGAAGTACTTAAATGTGAACTAGGTTACTCTATTTACGGCGCTACGTAGAATCTGAGATGAGACGGGCGTGACCGTGGTTAAGATGATCCAAGAACAGCAGCGTAAATTAGATCGAAGGGATTGCTTCTGTCAGGAACTGTCAGATCTAGAATCTGAGACTGCTTCGGAGCTAGTCAGCGTTGACGCAGTAATCAATCAATCAATCAATCATGTGACGTTATTGTTACATAGGAGGCGATTCCTAAACTATCTTCTAAGCTTGCGGGCTAATTAGGAATAAATGAAGTGCGGCAATTGTAACGAATGTAGCCGCCGCCTGACAATATCTCCCTGGCAGACTGAATACGGACAACCTGTATCCAAAGTGAACATAAGAAGCCCACGGGACTTCTGCGTTAGGTGGAACTGAATATTGGCAAGAAACACATGGGCCAAGCATTAAGGAGCTTGGAGTATCAACTGCTTAAACAATTCTGCATACTAGTGTCATGTAGACAACAAACTTAATCATGCAAACTATTGCTTAGATGGCTAAAGTGGATCATATCATACAAATGTAGCGATCAAGATGGAAGAGGCCTGGAGAAAAACATGCGGATGAGACTATCTTAGAACACACTATTTTCACAGTAGGTTTCTAAGAAAACACTCAGTCATCTTGTGTGTAGAAAACGTGAAGCGAAGAATCTCCTCAGATGCTTTGCCAGCTACTGAATCTCCAAAAGCAGTAAAATTGCTTCACCACTTAAGATGATAACAGACGGTAACCTTGGTAACTGGGTACGGCAACAGCATATCCTTCGTATAATATTAGGACTCCTGAGATTCCAGGCAACCTACATCAAGGCAGAAAGGCTTAGGCAATATCAAGAACTTAAGATCTTTTGCAGAATCTAGCTGTAACTGCCGTGGAAGAAAGACGATAGCCTTACCACCAGATTATGGACCTCTCCAAGCGTAAAGTTAAGAGCACCTGGAACATGGATCTCCGGGATTTCGAATGCGCGTGCTTTGGTATATGCAGCTTTAAAAAGGACATCAAATTCTCCCGCAGCTTTCATGCTGTGGATCAATTTCATCATCAACCCGGTTAAGTAGTACTGCCACATGCATGATAGTTAATTGGAGTGTCGACTGCAAATTGGTTTGCACAGTATGGCACTACTCGTCGTTGCCCATCAAATCCAGAATAGCGAAGCTCATCAGCGTTCAAATAACAATACTCGCATCGGTTTCATTCCGTTGAATGAAGTTTCTGCCGAACAATCTCAATTCAATCTTTTCTCTGTAAGCTGCTTTCCTCGAACAAATAGAAAAAATCTGAAAGTGCACAATCTGGCCAACCATCATCGCTAACACGCTCCTGGATTCTAAGAAAAATCTGCTACATATCATCCTTCTTGAGATATCAGTCTCTGAATGAAAGAGAAGAGAAATATCTTTCGAACGGGGTCTGTACTTCAGTAATCACTACAAAGTGGCACACAAAAACCAATGCTGGGAGAGGAAGAAGAAGAAGCCAGGCATTGTTCACACCTATCTCCAGAACCTTCACATTTGACGGCAACTGACTGCGACCAATTTCTCATCATTCATTCTTGCCATGCTAGCCTCAAACTCGAAATTAAACCACAATTAAAACACTGATTCAGTATTCACATTATCGCCTAAACTTCGTTTAAATACCAGAACGTCCTCATGTAATCAAAACCTCTCAATCTCCATAGAACTGCTTCTTTAAAAACTAGACTAGAGACTACAATTGAAAATGGCCTAAATTTCTACTACGATAAAAATAAAAATTATAAAAATAAAATAAAAAACTTAAGACTAACATCAACCTTTTTTTAAGCCTAAAGGCTTCTAAGGCTCGGCTCATCCTGCATGCATTAGCCTTGAAGACGATGATGGGAGACACAGAGCATTTAAAGAGAAGAGAGAAAAAAAATTCTATAAAATAATCTATTAAAAAAAATCCCCAAACAAAGCTCTCTACAACACGGCTCATGAACCCCTTCCTCCATGCGCTCACATACCAGCTAAAAAATTTCCAAACCGATTCGAAAGAAAAAGAGATATCTCACCGGCCATCCCATGCACGATTGCGCGTGAAGCTCTCACTCCGCCATGGAGCACAGATCCCACACCACTACAAAGCAATTCACAAGAATTCGTGTTCACGAACTCCGCTCTTTCTTCCCTTCAAGACTGCTCAACGAGCATCCGATGCTGAATTGCTGACGCCGAGGAGAGTTGTTTTGCAGGCATTTCAACGTCGGCATTGTCAGGCAGTATCCGTGACATCGCTCGCTAGCATTATCGCTTCGTCTTGGTCCTCCTCAGCACATTTTCCCGCTCGACGGCGTCAAGCTATGCAGCTTCTAGGGCTCGGGAATTCGAAAGCAACGATAGGAGGCTTCGGACCATGGGGATTGGAAGGAGAAATGTACTTTCATCTAAACCTAAAGGAAACAACATGTTGTGCATTCTCCGTTAGTGGAATTGGTGTAATTCTAGCCATCTCAAATATGCATCATTGCCAGGGAAAAAAATTGTGAAATGTAAATTTGTACCTTTTAAATATTCACTTCAAATTAAATAAGTCCATTTTGATGATGTTTTAAATAACAAATGGAATATATTTTTAATAAAATTATATACAAAGAATTGATGTATACAATAATTTTGGAATAATTTTTGTAAATCTTCCTAACCTTAGCTAAATTATTAATTGTAATTTATTACTGTTTTTGATAAAGTGGTCAAAATTTTAAAATTTAATGTTGTCGTAATACGTGAAGTCTTGCTTGAGAATGCTTTGGGTACTTGGCTGTGGAAGGTAGAATGGAAATTGCAACAACAAAATCCTAACTCTAATAGAACACTAACTAAACTCTAATTAGACCATAACAATCCTAAGCAAGCTTTAATCAAATTCAAAGAAACCTCAAAGGAATTACAAAGAAACAATAAGAAATCTTAAAGAAATATTAGAATGATCACAAATATATCTCAAATACATTTCAATTCAATCTTCATTTAATCCTAGTCAAAATCCTATTGGACTTCATTCAAACTTTAGGCCAAAAATTAACTAAATCTTAAATCCTAAACAAATCCTAATAAAACCTTAAACCCTAAATCAAATTCCAATCGAATCCTAAACTCTAAATCAACTCCTAACCAAACTCTAATCCTAAATCAAATCCTAACCAAATTCTAAATCCTAAATCAAATCTTAAATCCTAAATTAAATCCTAATCAAATCCTAAACCCTAAATCAAACACTAACCAAATCCTAATCCTAAATCAAATCCTAAATCCTAAATCAAAATCCTAACCAAATCTTAAATCCTAAACCAAATCCTAATCAAACTCTAAATCCTAAACCAAACTCTAGTAATTCCTACAACAAATTTAAACCTCAATAACTAATAAATGAAATATGGATCTTAATTCAAAATTTATATATTTTTTAAAAAATTAAGTTGACAATAAGCACAAAAAATTTGAAAAGGATCAAAATTACTAAATATACGATAACTTCAAAAATGTACTTAGGTATTGGTTGGCCTCCTTCTCCAACCTTGATGCCAATCTCCTAGAGCCAATATCTCTCTTTTTCATCATTTGATTGATTTCAAAATTCTCATATACATAGAAAAACAAGTCTACTTTACTCACCTATAAATTTCACTCCAATCCAACTAGTAGTTTGTAAGAAATCTTAAAAATCCTTATTAGACCTAAATTTCTACTTTCTATGACCTTGTGTCACGGACATACTCATGTAAGCTAGTAATTACATATACAAATAGGTGGAAGTAAGTAAAAGTAGGTAAAAGTAAGTTAATTCTATAGTATTTAATATAGAAGCTTTTTAGAAGCTTCATAGACTACATAGGTGTCTTTAATTGACTTTTTGGATTAGAAACGTGGTCGACAAGTTGGCCATGTACCACACATGTTGTTAGCTTGAAGATCAAGCTAACTATGTGGCCCACACATAGAAAAACTTGCCTTGTAAGTCAAGGCATATGTCCTATAAAGTCAACACATATTGGAGGTCCTATAAAATGTCGCCACATAGCCCCTAGTTAGATAGTATATATAGAGACAAGAGTGAAGCCCTCTCTACTATTATCAACTCTTTTCTTGCTTCTAGTCTAGTTTCAAGGATTTCTAGTTTTCATGTCTTTTGGCAATAGCCATTTCAGTTTCTCTTTCAATATACATACTTGTTTATTTAGATTTTGTTACCTTTCTTCAAGTGAAGGCTCACTTGTCTGAATTTCTTTTTATCAAGTTCTTATCCTTGACAGATTGACAAGAGTACACCTACAATATCAGAGCTTTGTCTAATCTTGATTAAGAGTGGGTTACCCCTTTTTCTTGATAAGATATAAGCACATTAGAAGTTGCGGATTACCTTCTTCTAAACTGATATTGTTCTTAGTATTTTTTTTATTCTCAAGTCCTCTCTTCTATTTGTCTTGAGCGATATTAGACATCTTATCTTTTCTAAGTGTTATCATGGCAGAACTTGTTGAAATGAAGAGTGCAATAGCACAAATGCAAGAATAATTTAGAGAGTTAATGCTTGCGATACATCAACTCAATTTACCACGACAAGAAGCAACAAGATTGGCAGGAAGTGAAGATATAGAAATGGTTGGAGTTACTTCAACATTTGCACCAAATCATGTCCTTTTTCCTATGGTGGAATGCCCTTCCAGTGTTAGAGAACCAAGAATTGCCCTACCCGAGAAGTTTGATGGCACTAGATCCAAGTTTCGAGGATTTATCAATCAAGTGCAACTTGTGATTGAACTTCAACCCCAAAGCTATCCAAGTCTAGGATTGCAAGTTAGATTCATTGGTATGCTTCTTTTAGGTTCAGCACTATCGTAGTTTTCATCTTTTCTTAAATGACGAGATTCAATATTAGATAATCTAGAGGCTTTTTTGGCAGAGTTTCGATCTATATATGGAGAACATGATGCAATTCGTGTTGCAACCAATAAGATCCATATTTTACGACAAGGCAATTGATCAATAACGTTGTACGCTTCACAATTTTGACAACTTGCAACTGATATCAAGTGGGATGATGCTGCACTTACTAGCCAATTTCTCTACGGATTACAATATGAGGTAAAAAAATTAATGCTCAACTTACCTGATCCTCAAACATTGAGTCAAGCAATTGACTTTGCTGTGAAGTGCGACAATCGCCTTTTTGAATTCCGATCTGAGAACCGACCTCAACGTTACTGTAATTCAATGGCAATACCAACACCTCTTCAATACATACATTCGAAAGTAGAGGATATGCAAATTGATGCAGTACGTTTCAAACCTCTTATTGAGCAAGAAAAGACTCATCGTCGTCAAGAAGGATTATATTTATATTGTGGAGAACCAAAGCACACTACTCAACATTATCCAAAGAAATGACGTAATCACAAAATGAGGAGGATAGCTATGAAAGAAGATAATATATCAGAAAACGAGTTTGTCTAGCTACAATAGAGACTGTGCGGTTGAAACCTTGCACAATATCTAGTAAAGGTCCTATTTTCTCATCAGAGCCCTCTCCTTGTTTTACATTAAATATTATTTTAGGACCTAAATATGACAAAGCCTCTGCCTTGTTAGATTCAGGAGCCTCGGCGTGTTTCTTAGATGAAGAATTTACTAAAAGACATACCATATCTTTAGTAAAGAAAACTAAACCTATTCATATAGAAGTCATAGATGGTCATCTATTGTCTTCTAGGGATATTACTCACGAAACCCTTCTTATAGAAGTAATAATCAATGGTCATAATAACTTTGTAGTATTTAATATTATTAGATCTCCCTCTAATCCAATCATTTTAGGTTTATTGTGGTTAAAAAAATACAACCTTCAAATAGATTGGATTTCTCGAACTCTTATTTTTCCTAAAAGTATAACTAACAGTGTAGTTAATGAAGTAGAGAGTCATAAGTCCAGTTCAATTAAACCCATATTTATACGTGCAAAAACTTTTTTGCATGCTGCTATGAAAGAATCACCATATATTATTTATGCCACATCTGTTTCTACTAGTAGAAAGACTTCAAGTGGCATTCCAAGCCAATATCAAGAATTTTAAGATGTATTTGAAAAAAAGAATGCAGATACACTCCCGGAACATCGTCCCTATGATTGCTCAATTAACTTTCAAGAATGAGCACAACTGCCATTCGGACCAATCTACAGTTTATCACAAAATGAATTGACTAAACTCAAGGAGTATATTGAAGAAAATCTAGCCAAGAATTTTATATGCCATTCTAAATCTTCGACAAGAGCTCCAATTCTATTTGTGAAGAAAAAAGATGGATCATTGCGGATGTCTGTTGATTATCGAGGACTCAACAAGATTACTACCAAGAACAAGTATTCACTACTTTTAATATCTAGATTTCTTGATCAGCTCAATCAAGCTAAGATCTATACAAAAATAGATCTCTGAGGAGCATACAATCTAGTACGCATCAAAGAAAGAGATGAATGGAAGACTGCATTTCGAACTAAGTATGGATATTTTGAATACAATGTCATGCCTTTTGGACTTACAAATACACCAACAACTTTTCAACATCTAATGAATGATTTTTTTTGAGAGTTTTTGGACGATTTTGTGGTCTGTTATCTAGACAATATCTTGATCTATTCTAAGAATCCAAAAGAACATGAACTTCATGCTCGTCGTGTATTACAAAATTAAGAGATGTAGGACTCTATGCCAAGATAGAAAAGTGTGTATTCCACACTACTCAAGTCGATTTCTTAGGTTACATCATTTCAAATGATGGACTTATGATAGATCCTAAGAAAGTTCAAACTATTATAGATTGGAAGATCCCAAAAACGGTAAGAGATGTCCAATGTTTTTTGGAATTTGCCAACTACTATCGAATCTTCATCAAGGACTTCTCTCGAGTTGCAGTTCCACTTACACGTTTGACTTGTAAAGATAAACTCCAATGGAATCAAGAAGCGGAAGTTGCTTTTGAATCTTTAAAGACAGCATTTATTTCTGCACCAATCTTGTATCGTGTTGATTTTTCCAAAGTATTCTTTATGGAAACACATGCTTTAGGTGCGATTTTATCACAAATGGGAATAGATGACAAACTTTATCTAGTAGCCTTTCATTCAAGAAAATTCTCAGCAGCAGAAATCAATTATGAGATCCACGACAAAGAACTTCTTACAATTATGGATTCTTTTCAAGAATGGCGTCATTATCTAGAAGGCACTTCCAGTCCAGTCACCGTATATACGGATCACAAGAACCTCAAATATTTTATGTCAGCATGCGTATTAAATCGTCGTCAAGCTTGTTGGAGCATGTCTTTATTAAGATTCGAGTTCATCATCACTTATCCGCCAGGAAAATAGCAAGG